AACTCAAATTACTCGTATGTCAAATCAATTTGATGCTGGGCTGATGTTGTGACGTTCGCTGTGCCAACTAGCGGTGGGGTATCTGAAGCTGGCTTGTAACCCGAGAATTTTAGCTCGCAACTCAAAGCAAAAAATCAGCTGAGACGGCTTGTATCTCGAAAAACTCGTTAGTCGGGACACTCGTAAGTCAAGGCCCCACTGTACCTGGGATTTGGAGGGAAAGTGGGTGGGGATCTAAATGAAACTAGATTGTCATGTGTTGAAAATTTTTTGTTGGGTAACAGGGACTTGTGGTTCATTATACTATTGGTTTTACTTTAGTATATGTTTGAAGATGTAAACAATAAAAAGTTTCAAAAAGGAAACAGAAAAGGCCAGGCCTCTCTTATAGAGATTTTGTTTCAGTATCTTTGGAGTGGGTACAGGAAGCTGCTGGTTAAGCAAGGTCCCTAGTGCTATCTATCAGAAAACTAAGGTTTGGGTATCTCTAGTGTAGACTGAATACTTGTGTCCCCTAAATTCATATGTTGGAACCTAATCCCCTATGCAATGGTATTTGGAGGTAGGGTCTTGTGAAGGTGATGGGATTAGTGATCTTCTAAGAGACCTCAGAGTGCTCCCTTCCCTTTCTACCATTGGAGGGTAGAGCTAGAAGATGGCCTTCTACGAACCAGAAAGCAGGTCCTCACCAGACACTGAACCTGTAGGCGACTCAATCTTGGACTTCCCAGCCTCTAGGAATGTGAAAAATAAATTTCTGTTCTTTATGTCACCCCATCTATGTTATTCTGTTATAGCAACCTGAATAGATTAAGGCAACCTCTTCCTGTCCCCATATTACTTCTGGGGTAAGGACCTCCCAGAGAGCCAGGGTGATGTCTTCTAACAGTAGTAGTAAATTAATAGAGTTTTTAACATCTTAGAGAGACAGCATGGTGGGGTGGAAACAGCACACTGGACTCATTCATTCATTCATCCCGTAAGTATTTACTGAGAACTTATTAGATGTCAGGCACTATATGTGGGTTAGAGGCAGGCCTTGCCCTTGCATTGTGGGTGATAACAATAGTCCTAGTCTCTTGAGGAACTTTCCCCAGGCCCAGTGTCCCACTTCACAGCTCCTCAGACTGAGGTTGCAGATGATTATTAAAGAGCAACAGGTCAGGGAGGGGTGGCTTTCACAGTCTAATCTCCTCAAGCCTTTCACGCCAGGTACTATGGTCTGGTAAGATTTGCATCCCCCACAGTACCCAGTAGTGTTTTTTATTTTTACACATATTTTTATTAATTTTGAGAGGGAGAGAAACACCAATGGGCTGCCTCTTGCACACCCCCTACTGGGGATCAACTCGGGCATGTGCCCTGACCAGGAATAAAACTGGCAACCTTTTGGTGTATGGAATGATGCCCAACCAACTGAACCACACTGGCCAGGGCTTCCCTAGTATTCTTTAACCCTCCTCGCCCCTCTTCTGAGAATGGCACTGTCAGTTTGCCTCATATTGTAATTATTCATGTTAGTGTCTCCCTCACTGAACTGTGAGCTCCCCAAGGGCAAGGAGTGATCCTTTAAATCTGGGCCCCAAAACAAGCATGCTGAGCTTGGCCCTACTTTAAGCCCTCAGCACTGGCTCTTCTCTTTACCTGGTAATTTTCTTCAACTCCTGTATCAGCTGTCACCACTGCAGAGATGGCTCTCCTGACCACAAAACAAGCATGCTGAGCTTGGCCCTACTTTAAGGCCTCAGCACTGGCTCTTCTCTTTACCCAGTACCAGGTGTCACCACTGCAGAGATGGCTCTCCTGACCATTGAGTTATTGCCTCCACTCCACATTCTATCACATTATTATTTTTTATTTTCATAGCACTACCAGTATTTGAAATAACGTTATTCATTTGTCTTCTTATCAAGCATATAAACTCCATGACAACAAGGGCCTTATTTGTCCTGCTCACTGCTTTATGCACCAGCTTCCTGTATCTGTACTTAACATCTAATAGGTGCCCACTAAATATTAATGATTGCTGAGTCATTGCTAAATCAAAGGACTGGGAAAGTGGGCATTTTTACTTCTTCTCCAAGGTTGAACAAAAGGTCAGTATTATGGAGACTGCAAAAAAAAAAGGATACATGTGACTACTGCTTCCAAACTGGTTGGAGGAGAAGAAATAGCAGCATCAACCTCCTGAGAACAAGACAAGGGAAACTATGACCCAAAAAAAAAAAAGGATACATGTGACTACTGCTTCCAAACTGGTTGGAGGAGAAGAAATAGCAGCATCAACCTCCTAAGAACAAGACAAGGGAAAGGTGCTAGATGTAGGACACAGATTCAGAGGCCAGAGAGACACAGACGGTGGCTGGAACAGAGCTTGAGAGCAGGGTTCATACGCATCTTCTGTGTCTGCACCTAACATGGCGCTGGCCGAGGAGGTGCTCTGTGAGGACTACTGAATTGCACTGAGCAGACAGCCCAGCAGATTGGTGATTTACAGAGACTTTGTATATAATCTGGTACCTTGGATTACAAATATTCCTACTCAGTAAGTTCTTAATCTAAATGATTCTCTTAAATTCAGAGTATTTAAATATAGGCATACACAAGATAATGTTTTGGCTAAAATCATGTCACTTATTTATTAACAAACAACTGAGTATCTTATATGTTTCAGGCCATATCCTTGACACTAGAAATGGAGACTAAAGCCTGGCCCTCAAGGAGCTCACAGTCTAGTGTGGGCAAAAGATACATAAATACATAAATATAATATATGCAAAGAGGACCACTATAGGAGGCAAAGGACAGAGGAATCCAATTCGATGGTTAATGTCCATAGGAAAGGAAGACCTGGCATTTTTTTGTGAAGAACTCATAAGGCAATGGTTCTCAAAGTGTGGCTGGTGAATTACCGTCATCTGAATCATCTGGAGCACATATTAAAATGCAGATTCCCAGGACTTTCTACAAAGATTATGATTCAGCAGGTTGAGGTTTGGGACTTGGGAATCTGCATTTTGAAGTGCTCAAGATAATTCTACTTCCACTTAAAGTTTGAGAACATGTGAGAAAAGGTTTGCTTGTTCAACTGGAATGAAGAATGATCTGCACATCTGAAATGTTAATTTGCATTGGTCTTTAATGACAGGCAGGGAAGTGGAGAAGAGGAAGGGAGGCGACATTTATTAAGCTCTACTGTAGTGTATAAATTAATTCTGACAATAATCCTATGAGGTAGATATTATTATCCCCATTTTACAGATGAATAAACAGAGTTAGAGAGTTTAAATAATTTGTTCAATATTATAGAGCTAATGTATTGCAACACCAACAGCTGAATCCAGATTCATTTAACTCTAAAGCCTGTCCACTTTCTATAACACCATGTTGCACCAGCAGACAAATTTACTGACTAAAGTTACAATGTTCTTTTAGTTCTTTGCCAGATCTTCCTAGGTAAATATAAGGAACAGCCAGATGGTGCTTTGATTTTTCCAGTGTAACTGTCCATGGATACAGTCTTCTCTTGATTTAGGGCAAAGCTGGGAGGAACAATAAAATGAGCAGCCAGTTTTTATTTCTTTTCCCATCATTTTCTCACCCTCTGGTGGAGATGCTATGAAAATGTCCTATGGCTAGGAACGGGGTCCATCTGGACGGAAAAGCAAACATAACCGGATACCCACAATAGTAACTGCCTGATGCTAAAGATTCCCAGGACTCAAAACATCCAGATTGAAGTTTCTCAAAAAATGAACTGTCAGGACCAGAGGTAAGTCCAGAATTTGCATCAGGAAATAGCCTTGTCTTTAGAGAAATTGTGAAAGGCTAGCTAGCAGCTTTTCCAGGTTAAACAAACACTATTTGTCTCTTTCTATATACAGACTCAGAGGTATAACAAAACAGACTCAGCTCAGAAAATAATGGGAAGTCCAAGCCCATTTAAAGAGCTTGGGGACAGGCCCAACCTGTAATGAAGAAAACAAACATACACAGGAACTGTAACTACTGGTTCCATTTCCACTCACCATGTTCAGTGTCATACAACCAGATCTTGGGCAGCAGCAGACAAAGTGAAGCATGTCAGAGCAAGAAAAGGAAAGGCGTAGTAAAGGCAGCTGACGACAATGGGGAGGGGGGGAACCTCAGGTTCAGAAGACTGGTGTGTAACTACCACCCTCCTCTATCACTGAGCTTTGAGCCACAGCAGTGACTCTACAAACCACATGGGAGTTTCCAGAGCTGGAGAGCTCCTTTTCTCATTTTTGATGTTTCAAGCAACTACTAAGCCCAAAGATGAATTTTGATCAAGTCAGCTCACAGCACTGACACTACGGACAGCACATAGCTTAGATTTCACTGCTGAATATAACAAATACTATAAGCCAGAGTTTATTTTATTGCTATATTTTCTCCACACCCAACTTGAGAACATTTGCTTCTACCCACTTTTTTATATAATAGTAGTATGGCTTAGAGTTGTTAAAAAACAACAACACAAAAACATGCAAATCTGGATTGCTCCTTCCTTATAAAAAGTTGATTTATTTACACTGCATTGATTCACCCCCTCCAAATACACAGATTCTAAAAGACAGAGTTAAAAGAGGAGGTGCCACAAACCATGATTTACTAGTAAAAATATGCAGACACTGTACCTTTGTGTTTAAGTATACCTGACATCTACTGATGCTGCAAACCAGCTACACTAAAAGCAACTCTGGGAGCATCTAGATGAAGTCTTAAGCCTGATTGCAATACCTGGTTGTTCTAGAGTCTAAACAGGATATTTGGGTTTTGCTTTTGGCAAGCTAACTGGCACATGGGAAGAGTATCTAAAGCCCACACCTAACTATAGCAGGTCTTCAAGCTATCTTGTCACAAGTTTAGAAAGATGAGGAACTATGCTCATTTGGGAGTTGTACCACCAAAATGTCCAGAATGCATGTGCACTTTTAACAGTGTGTAAAATCAAGTCAACCATCCTGCTGATCTTTGGCTGTCTCTGATAATGAACCGAAATGCTTAAAAAGGAAACCTCAAGTGTGCTGAGAGATAATTATCAGAATTTTGGCTATCTCTGTTCCTGACTATCAAGTAATAAGGCTCATCTCCATTAGTACTTCTTGCATAAGCACACAGGGCAACTCCTTAAGAGACTGCATTATAGATGCTGAGCTCCTGAGAATTCAAGGGGGTGGGTGGGTTGAGCAGACGCTGTAAAGGAGCCAACCCTTGCAGCTCTAAGTCTTATCCTGGTTCTGGGCACATTTCAGTTTCGCTCCAAGTCCACTTTGCTCCAATTCAGCAATGACAGACATATATTTGAAGTCATTTGGTCTGAAGTTAAAGGTCTCCACTAACCCGTAGGTCTCCTTCCGATCAGTGGCATAGAAGAGCTGAACTTGATTGGCAATGCACTGTGCCTCAGCAACATTCTGGAAGGTAAAAAGAATAGTGAGCTCTCTCCCTGCCCAGGACCGAAAAGCTCTGTGTTTGAGTCCTGTGGCACTCAGGAGTCTCTGCTTCAGGAAGCTTCCCCAACTCCCTGATCTCCCAAGTCTTAGCTAGGTGCCTCCTCTCTATGTACCCAAATTACCCCATGTTTACTGCTATCGTAGTACTTATCATACTGTATTGTATTTGTCCTTTCTTTTCCTTTTTTGCCTATCTTCCCTAGTATTAATTCCTCAAAGTATGTGTGCTTGTTTTATACCCCTGCACATAGTGACATCTGGTGAATGTTTGAATAAATTAATGCATATGCTCAAACTTTCCCTCTTGGTTCAGTTCCTTTATAACTGTTAAGTGTATTCCGAGGGCGTGGGGGTGGGTGGGTGGAGATAACAATAGTTACCCAGCTCCAAGCTCTAGTTGGTGAGTACTAAGTTCTTGACTAACCCTTTCTTTGAGTGTGGACTGTATGTACTGACTTGCTTCTAACAAGCTGAATACAGTGGGATGATGAAGAATGACTTCTGCTATTAAGTCACAAAAGACAGTCATTTCTAACTTGCTCTCTCCCGAATCACTTGCTCTGGAAAAGCTAGCTGCCATGTGATGAAGACATTTAAGCCTCACAGAGAAGCCAACATGACAAGGAAACGAGGCCTCCTGCCAATAGCCAGGAGAGTGGGGTCAGAGGTAGATCCTCAAGCCCAAACAGCCTTCAGGTGGCTGTAGTGCTGGCCAACATCCTGACAGCAACTTCATGAGACTGAGCTGGACCCACCCAGCTATGCTGCTCTTGAGTTCCTGACCCACAGAAACTACGAGGTAACGAATTTTTGTTTTAAGCCATAAGTTTGGGGTAATTTGCTATGCAGCCATTTCTAACTAATAACTAAGGCACCAGCAAAGCCCCAGGGAAGAAAAGGGGCCACCTTCTGGAAAGCTCAGAGGCAGGGAAATGGAGACCAGACCACTCTATGTAACAGAGGTAGGGTCAGGACATAGACTATACTTTTGAAACCTTACAAAAGAGTTACTTCAAACAACTCTTACTTTTTCTATCTAGTCATTCTCCAGTTCTAACTAGTCAGAGGCACTTAATCATTATCCTTGTATTCCTATGGCCAAAACCAACCCCAAAGGATAATGGAAAATTCCCAGTAAAACCGACTGTCAGGAGCGTGCTCCATCTAGCTATAGAATCATGAGGACGGGTTTATAAATACCCTAGGCCGCTTTGTCTCCATTCCCTCCTGTGGGGTTTTCAGGTCATTTTCTCACAAGCAGGCACTAATCTCTGAGACTAGATCTTCAATCAAAAGCCTTTTTCCAAAATGCTGGCTATTTCAAATTAATGGAATTTCAGAGCTGGAAGGGGCCTCAGAGATCACCCAGTCCTCATTTAATAAGCCAGGAAACCAAAGCAGATGAAGTCTAGGGATCGGCTCAAGGTCATGTGGCTAGAGAGTGGCAGAGACAGGACCAGACCTCTGGACTCCCAGGCTGGTACTCCCTCCACTTCACCCTGACAATGTGGGGGAAGATAATTAAAATCAATCAAGGTTGTTAACTCTGCTTCATCCATTTTACCTTTTTTTATACTAAAACATGCCTCAACAGCAAACCATTTCTAAAGCAAGTGCATGCCACAATCCGAGGCAGCTATCACTGTTCTCTGAGCTCCTGAACTGTAGGGCCTCTGATGGAGGCGGGGGTTATCTCAGCTGTGTTCCCTCTAGAACAGTGCTGTCCGAACAGTAGAATCTTAGGGGCTCTGAAGAGGTGCCTCAGGTCCCTTCACCTCTGTTTCAGCTGTTTTATCCTAGGGCAGGGGTCCTCAAACTACGGCCCGCGGGCCACATGCAAATACAAATATTGTATTTGTTCCCGTTTTGTTTTTTTACTTCAAAATAAGATATGTGCAGTGTGCATAGGAATTTGTTCATAGTTTTTTTTTTTTTAAACTATAGTCCGGCCCTCCAACGGTCAGAGGGACAGTGAACTGGCTCCCTGTTTAAAAAGTTTGAGGACCCCTGTCCTAGGGTTTACATAGTAAGGTTTTGTTTGGATCAAGGATTCCTCTTACTAGCTTGAAGACCACTAGTGTGGTGGGTAGGGAGGTAAGATACAGGTAGCTATGTGCATCTGTCTCTCGAGGGTTATTCACCCCCTGCCTTTTGTTTTCTTAATTCTCAACATGAAGCAGTAGCCTCCTCTCTTTCCAAGATCCGTGAAGATAAACATATTAACTCCTTGTGTTGCTCATTAAGGAGGTATATAACAAACCTGATTTCTCCTTCTCTTTTAATTTTCATAGCTATGATCAATTTACTTCCTATATATTTTGGGGGTCATTATCTCTCCTCCAATGATTCTTTTGTGTCTTCAGGATAAAGCCAAACCTCTAAACATAACCCACCAAACCTTTTTTATATATCAGTGATACCAAATGCTTTGTTATACTGCAAGTCATTTTATGCCTCCTAGCATTTACTTATGCTATTAGCTCTGTCTGGAACACCTTTCTTTACCTGGCAAAACTCTGGCTCATCTTTGAAGGTTCAGCACAGGTGTCATTTCTAGGAAGTCACCTTCCTCCTTCTGGGTCAGGAAACCCCACCCCCCAGAATGCTCTGCATGTTTTTATCCTAGCACTTACTGCATTCCAATTAAAGCTTTTATTGATAGACATATGGAAACAGATAAGGTTTTCTAATATTCTACTAAATTTTCAGCATTAAAGTTAGTTAAGAAGAAACCTTTAGTTTCCATGTATTTCTATTTATCTGCTTTACTGTACTTGGAAATACTATGCCTAAAATACAAACTCATGTGTGAGTATGCAGGTGATCATATATTTATACTAGAGGTCCAGTGCATGAAATTTGTGCATGGGGGTGGGAGTGGTATCTCAGCCCGGCCTGCACCCTCTCCAATCTGGAACCCCTCCGGGGATGTCCGTCTGCAATTCGGGATTGCTGGCTCCTAACCAATCACCTGCCTGCCTACCTGATCGCCCCTAACCTCTCTGCCTGCCTGATTGCCCCTGCCTTCCCCTGCCAGCCTGGTCACCCCTAACTGCCCTCCCCTGCCAACCTTGCCCTCCCCTGCCAGCCTGGTCACCCCTAACTGCCCTCCCCTGCCGGCCTGATTGCCCCTAACCTCTCTACCTGCCTGCCTGATCGCCCCTAACTGCCCTCCCCTGCTGGCCTGGTCACCCCGAACTGCCCTCCCCTGCCGGCTTGATCACCCCTAACCACCTCTGCTTCAGCCCCTGCCACCGTGGCTTTGCCTGGAAGGACGTCCGAATGGATGTCTGGAAGATATCCGGTCTAATTAGCATATTACCCTTTTATTAGTATAGATTACATTTCTCGTGCACCTCTATAATAATTCCTAACAAGTCTAGTTCTGTAAAGTAGCTCCTCAAATAATATCATTCATTCAATGTTGTTTTCCTATAACACTGATGAGATGCTGTAGGAACTTAGTTGCTGTTTATATCAAGTTGCCTATGGTAAAATTGGTTTTGTTATGTCTTTTTGCCACAGTTCCAAGAACCTATCAATGACATAAAGTGAGGACTTACTGTATACTTCACTGGACAGTCAGTCAAGTTGACATATGCAAGGCAAATACAGAGTAAAAGTAGGTTTATAGTTGTATGTGAAACATAATCTATTCTTGTATTATTATTTATTAATTATTGTATTATTTTCCATATGGACTGTAAACCTACTTTTGCCCTACCCTCTATTTATTGTCTGGTATGCTGTTGAATGTTATAAGGCCAGGAGGCAAATTTTAATGATGATGAAAACTGTTATCAGTTTGAGACCACCAAGGTGAGGTGGTCAAAATGCCCAAGTAGAAGGGTCTCTCCTCTGACCTCTCGAGTGCACTTTTTTAAAAAAATATTTATAGATTTTATTGATTTTTTTTTTTTTTTTACAGAGAGGAAGGGAGAGGGATAAAGAGTTAGACATATCGATGAGAGAGAAACATCGATCAGCTGCCTCCTGCACACCTCCTACTGGGGATGTGCCCACAACCAAGGTACATGCCCTTGGCCAGAATCGAACCTGGGACCTTTCAGTCCGCAGACCGACACTCTATCCACTGAGCCAAACCGGTTAGGCTCAAGTGCACTTTTAATATGATTAGAGGCTGTGCTTCGCTGAAGACCAGAAAATAAAGTGCAATCTCTATGTCCCTTACTCCTCTGGTCAAATCTTAAACCTTGTCATTATTGGTAACTATATCCCTCCAAATCTCAATTTGAAGCACCTACACACACTTTGTCTACTATTTCCTATCAGTTAAGCACACTCCCAACTTCAAAAATCTTTTAACCCCACTAGGACTCACAATTCTGTCTCTAACCTCCCTTATTTTCGCTTCCCTCTTTATCCAGTTTATAATCCATGGTCAACAATTATAATCACTCCTTTGCCTTTACATTTAACTTCTGAGTTCCTATTTTACTTCATTATACCACTTGGCTAAACCATAACCCTAGTTAAATGAAACTCTCAGCCCTCTCTTTCTGTGCTTGTACCCACACAGCTATTCTCTCTTCCATTTTCCTAGACCACAAGTAGGCATACGGCTTCTGTAAAGGGACAGACAGTTAATATTTTAGGCTCTACGGGTTCTATAGTCTTTGTTGCAACTACTCAATTCTTTGTTGCAGAGCTACAACAACCACAGATAATAGGTAAATGATAACCATGGCTACTTATTGTGTTCAAATAAAACTCTTTCACAGACACTAAAATTTGAATTTCATATACTTTTCACAGGTTCACAGGTCAGGAAATATTCATCTTCTTTAGGCTCCCTTACCCCCTCTCCAACCATTTAAAGATGTAGAACATTCTTCACTTATGGGCCTTCTAAAAACAGACAGTGGATTGGATTTGGCCCTGAGGCTACAGTGTGGTGACTCCTGTCCTAGACAATTTCAGACGTTCTGTTTTTCACTATAATGTCCAACACCTATTCTTCCATCCTCACTTCCAGCTAATGATGGGCCTTTCCTTTCACTAAACAAATTAGAGAGAATTTCTATAGGCTACTACCACCTCTATCCATTTAACTGTGTCCTTATATCCTGGCTTCTCTCCTGTTTTTTTATTTTCCTCATTCCCAGACTTACCCACTCAAAAATCTCACTTCAACATTTCTCTCCTCTTTCTCCACATTATCAATACTTCCCTCTACTGGATCTTTCCATCAGCATACAAATCTATTTCTCCCATATTTAAAACAAAACAAAAAAACACTCTCACTCCCACTTCTCCCCCCACCCCCCAGCTATTGCCCCATTCTCTCCTTCCCCTCACAGAAAACCCTTTCAAAGACTTGTTTATGCTTACTCTAATTTCTTTCTATACTCTCTTAATAGCACTCCAATTATGTGTTTATCCTACTGCTCTGTTTGAAATGTCCCTTATAAAGGTACCCCATGACTTCCATTTTGTGAAGTGTACTAAATTCTCAGTCCTCATCTCATTTCCTACCAGAAAGTGAGATTTGGCCAGTTGAGCACTCCCTGTTTCTTGAAACATGTTATCTCAGTTTCCAGGACATTCTACTACATCACTGACTTGTTCCTTTTAATCTTTGTTGATGCTTCCTCATCTCCGCTGGGCTCTGCTCTGAACTCCAGGCTCATATAACTAACTGCCTACTACTTGGAAATCTAATAGGCATGTCAGATTTAACGTGCCCACAACCGAGCTCCTGATCTTCCTTCCAAACCTTTTGCTTCTACGATCCTGTTTACCTCAGTTAATGGCAACTCCATTCTTCTGGATAGGGTTTTAGGTACCTTCCAGTTGAGTGTGGTGGGGGGGAGTAAGAATATGAGAAATGGGACTGAACAGTTTCAGGACTAATAGACAGGGAAGTAGAGTCCCAACTGTGTCCAAGACTTGGGACTCACTACTATTGTAATAATGGCTGAAATACTAGCCGAGTGCCAATACTAGCAAAGGAACTTACACCACTTCCTTCCCTGTATGCCCATGGTAAGAGAGAAGGGAAAAATAAGTGGGTGTTGCAATGAAAAATCTCAGGGAAAAGAGGCATGAAAGTGGCCAGTATCTTGAGGCCATCCTGAACTTAAATGCTGTCAGATAAATGAGATTAAAATGAGCAAAGGTTAGACAAACAGGTTGTACAGTAATCATAAAAGTGCTCCTGGCCCTAGACACGTGGAGAGAACAAACATAATGGATATCATTACCTATGGGCATATGGTTGATCCTCTATCCAGGGAATGGGAAAAGGGGCAAGGGAAATCACTATGTATGAGGAATGTTGTGTATGTGGACAGTGTGAAAGATAAAAGATCGAGCACTATTCTAGACTTCGAACTCTTCCCTACTCTTAAGAAGCCATTTACTTGTCCAGTTTCTTATCTAAAACCCCTAGGGCCTGATGTGTTTTGAAGTCCGAGTTTTTGAAAGGTGCGGAATGTTTTCAGAGCGTTTGGACTTCAAAATTGTGAAGAAGTGATTGAGGATCTGTACTAACTTCAACTTGCAAGAGCTTGAGCAAGACCTTGTTATTGTCAACTTTAAGTAAGAAACAAATAGATGTAGATATCTCAAATTTTACTTCTCCTGAATTTTGCTGAAGAATATTACTTTCAGGGCTACCAGGGTAAATCTACAGAGGTACAATTGATTCTTACCATAAATGTAGAATCCATTTCTGCTGTCATCAGTACTATGCCCTTTTCTTCCTTAAGTTCAGGGTAGTGATATAAAATCAGCTGGCTGGCCGCAGCTTCCCCTCGGGTCTGTAAGGAAGAACACTTATCAAGGCGCAATAACATACCAGCACAACAAAACTGCAATTTCGGAGCAAGAGGGAGTCTGGAGGAAATTCTGGCTCTTACCAGCCCCTTGGGTGTTTAGTGAGTCTGAGAACTGGGGATGGTTGGGCCTGCCAAGGCACGGTGAAGTGACAGTTTGCACAGCATTATTTGTGTCTTCAATTGAAAAAGGTTTGGCTCTTTTCCCAGAAAATGTTTACAGTAGGCAGTGAATCCTTCATCATGGCCATATATTTTAAAAACAAAATGGCACAAGCAGCTACCAAATAAAGTTCTAAAGAAAGCAATATGCCTGTGTAATTGCCACTTTTATGGACTAGTGCATTTCACAGCTGAAATCTACTCCCCTTGGCTGGCTCTGAAGACTGAGCTCTTTTAAGCTGTAGCAAACAGCTGGAGAGTTTGCACATGGGCCAGATTTGCAATGTGCAGTTTTAAAATAAAAGCTGGGTGGGAGGTAGGGAGAAAAGCATGAGAATACCATAATTTCATGAAGAATGAACAGGATAGTAACCAGACCTTAATCCAGACTAGGAAGAGAAGCTGGGTTCAAAGCTAAAGCCCCCATATAGTGTTGGAGGACTATACATTCAAAAAAAAAAAAAAAAACTCTGGGTTTCCTCTCTAAAATTCCAGCAAGAGTCCTTTTAATTATCAATATCTAAGTGTTGCTTGGGTTCTTTTAATAGTTTAGCCTCTCAGTGCTTTTGAAAATACTTCTACTATACTGGTCATTTTGATTATAATTCTATTTCTGGATTTTTTTCTTATACTTGAATATGAGCTTCATGAGGGCAGGGACCTTGGCTCATTAGGTATCTAGGTTCTAGCATAGTTTCCAACACAACAGCATAATGGATAAGTTCAAAGACTATGGAGTCAATTACCTGGAGTCAGTCAAACCCAGGTCTACCACTTACTAGCAGTGAGTAAATGGAAATAATGTCTCATGGGATAATTGTAAGGATTAAATAATAATGGCACATAGTAAGTATATTAAATGTTGGTTATTATAGTATGTGCCCAATAAATGATTCTTAGAATTGAAAAATAACAAAGTGAAAGCTGCCCCCTGATTCTAATTTGCGCTCCTTTTACCTCAACTTCAAAATCATACATGCTTGTTTTTGCCAGATTTGGCCTCTAAATATAGAATGTCAATTTTAGTTATGATCTAATATGAAATATTGACTTATTTTAAAAGGTTCAGCCCAGCTAATATAGCTCAGTGGTTGAGCATTGACCTATGAACCAGGAGGTCATGGTTCAATTCCTGGTAGGGGCACATGCCCAGGTTGTGGGCTCGATCCCCAGTGGGGGTGTGCAGGAGGCAGCCAATCAATGATTCTCATCATTGATGTTTCTCTCTCTCTCTCCCTTCCTCTCTGAAATCAATAAAAATCTATTTTAAAAAAGAGCTTCAAATGCTTTGGATCAAACTAAATCTAATATTTTGGAATTTAAAAAAAAAGCAGGAGGGAAGCAAACCAAAAAAGTCTGTGGAATGGAAACTATAACAGAGCACCATGGGAAGTGCTATAGTGCAATAAAACTCAAATATGACATGGAGCCTATCTAAGACCACCATTATAACTTACCCATGTTTGTTAAGTGAGGCACATACAGTAAATGTTTTAGAGATCTGGGAAAGAGACAGGAGAGAGCTCAAAGTAGTCAGAGAACATGTTTTGGGTCTTTGTCAATTTACAGGTATTGAATAGGGCCTGGAAAGCTGGTCCAACATATTCAGTACAACAATTCGTCAATGCCACAGCAAATACTGCTGGGGGTCTGTAGATATTCCGTGCTCTCAAGCCTCAGCAAGGGCTCAGAATCCCACAAAGGGGTAGGCCTCTTTCTTCTAGTGCAGTGGTTCTCAACCTGTGGGTTGCGACCCCTTTGGAGGTCGAACAACCCTTTCACAGGGGTCGCTTAAGACCATCGGAAAACACATATATAATTACATATTGTTTTTGTGATTAATCACTATGCTTTAATTATGTTCAATTTGTAACTATGAAAATACATCCTGCATATCAGATATTTACATTACGATTCATAACAGTAGCAAAATTACAGTTATGAAGTAGCAACGAAAATAATTTTATGGTTGGGGGTCACCACAACGTGAGGAACTGTATAAACAGGTCGTGGCATTAGGAAGGTTGAGGACCACTGCTCTAGTGGATGAGCAGAAGCCACCTACCTGAATATTTATAAGTGCAGTGAAGTGGAGTTCAGTGCCTGACCACTGTCCTACAAAGAACTCATAGCCTTCCCTTCTTGGTAGTGCACACAGAAACTGTGGGAAACAAATACACAAGGAGGTAGATGAATAAATAAAATCATTCCCTCTATGACCAACCACCTGTATCATTCACTCAATTTCTTCCATGTTTGGTTGAAAACATTTTTTAAAATTATGAAATTCATACATAATAATATATGTATATACACTTCCCAACCCACCTAAGAAAGAAGCATTAGATGTCCAACTGAAGCTCCCTGTAATTCATTCCAATCCCGCTGCTGAGTAACATCTATCCTGCATTTGCTGACTGCCATTCTCTTTCAATAGACAGTGAATCCTTCATCATGACATATATTTAAAAACAAAATGGCACAAGCAGCTACCAAATCAAGTTTTAATACTTTTAATGTGTATGTGCATATCCATAAACAAGAACAGTACCATTTGCTTTGAACATAAATCATCTCAAATTATGTGTATACTTTTGCAACTTGCTTTTTTCATTTCACGTTATACTGGCCCCGGGCAGCTGGGGCCCTGAGGGGGTTGGGGGACTCTGGAGGCAGGCACGTGGAGTGGCCAGGCCTGCCTGGGGGTGGGCCCAGCCTTGTTGCGCACCTGCCGCCCCAGCGGGTCTGAGGGGATTTGGCACCGCCATCTTGTGGCTGTGGGTGCTGCCATCTTTGAGGGTGTGGCAATCAATTAGCATATTCCCTCTCCTTATTGGCTGTGGGCATCACCATCTTTTAAGGGTGGGACAGTCAATTAGCATATTCCCCCTTACTGACTGTGGTTGCCGCCATCTTTGGGATGGTCTGAGGGTCAATTAGCATATTCCCTCTTTATTAGATAAGATATACATTACACAAAAGTTATCATTTTAACTATTTTTTTTCCATTTTAACTATTTTTAAGTGTACAATTCAGTGTCATTAAGTACATTCACAATGTTGTGCAACCATTACTATCATTCATCTCCAGAACTTTCTTAATCTTTTCAAGCTGAAACCTATAGTCATTAAACAATAATTACCTATCCCTTTTCCCATCAGTCCCTGGCAACTGCTATTCTACTTTCTATGAATTTGACTACACTAAGTATCTCATACAAATGTGGAATCATACAGAATTTGTCCTTTTGTGACTGGCTTATTTCACTTAGCATATCTTCAAGGTTCATCCATGTTATAGCATGTGTCAGAATATCTTTCCTTTTTAAAGCTGAATAATATTCTATTCTATACACACACACAGATCACATTTTATTTATCCACTCATCTATCAACGGACACTTGGGCTACTTCTATCTTTTGGCTATTACAACTAATGCTGCTATGAACATGGGTATAAAATTGAAAATTTTAATGAAATGCAATTTATTGATTTTTAAAATTGTTTGTGCTTTTTATGATATACTTAAGAAATCTTTGCTAAACCCAAGATCACTAAATTCTATGATCTATTTTGAGTTAATTATTGAATATGGGGTGAGGTAAGAATAAGAGTATCCTTTCCCCCATTTAATTACCGTGGTCCCTTTGCTGAAAAACAAGTGACCACATATATGTTGGTCTATTTGTGGATTCTCTACTCTGTTCCATTAATCTATAGGTCTATTTCTATGCCAATATCATACTGTCTCCATTACTACAGCTTATAATAAGTCTTAATAAGATAATGTAAGTCCTCTAACTTTGTTTATTTCAAAATTGTTTTGTTATTCTAGGTCCTTTGGATATCCAAATAAATTTTTAAAATCAGCTTGTCAACTTCTTTAAAAGAAAGGCCTATTGGGATTTTGATTGAGATTACATTTTATAGATCAATTTGTGGAGAAATGACAATAATATGGAGTCATCCTGTTGATGAACATGATATATCTCTCCATTTACTTCGAGGTTGTTTTTTTTAAATTTTTTCTTGGCAATGTTTGGAAAAATTTTTTTAGAATCCTAAAAATGATTCTCAACACCAAGTCAGCTGGCCCACCTCACTTATTCCCTTCCCTTAGGTCTTCTGGTAGCTCATTACTATAGCAACAATTTCATAATTCCTTTTAGGTATATCTAATCAGGATAGCATGGCCAAAACTGAAAAGAAAATTCATAATAAAATAGACACTTAAGGGAAGTTGAAATTATTATGGTCTCAGGTTCTATATCCAACATTTACTTATACTGTTGATTAAGATCCAGATCAGAAAGGGCTCAGAAAAAGCCAGAGACTTATTGTGCCAAGCTCACATTATTTCATAAGGCTAAACAGTACAATCTACCTATAAGCATCTTTGTTAAGTAAACAGAACTATAACGTGAAATAGCATGGAGGATGAAGAGATCAGTTAGAAAACATCCTTATTTGCAGCACTGATAAGCAATCCAGAAACTTACTGTTGGACAGGACTGAGCCCGGTTCCAGATCAAATCAAACTTCTCTTCCTGTAGGTTAGAAAGGAATAAAAGTCACAAACAAATAAAAACCCCATAAAAAGCTACAATGACACTTAAATTCACCAAGACTGAACTCCAGAACTAAAATACAACTAAAACAATCTAAGTTTCACCATTTACAAATGCCTCTTATGACAGAGAGGAGCCAGATGTATTCTTTGCTGTTCAGTGTCCGAATCTGCTGTGAACAGTGTACACTCTAAATGCTCCCAACTCTCCAGGGGACTCTGCTAAGTGTCTGAGACAGCAGGTCACTAAGTCTGTCTGAGGGAAGGCTTAAAAAGTCCCATTCAAACAGTGAGCCAGTATCAGAGACCTAAAATATCAAGAAGTACAGATCCCTTGGCTTCTGAACTTTTGAAGGGGAAGGGTATACATGTATAAGAGGTAGAAAAAAAAATAACAATACTCTTACAACAACCAAAAGGCCTGGCTTTATTTTTCCATCTATACGTTTTTCTCCTTAATCTTACAATTACGCAGTAAGCTAGGTGTACACTGCTTGATATAAACTTATCCTAGGCTATTTCCTCTTCCAGGAAGAACAATTAAAGAACTAGCTGATACACCAGTACATCAAATGTTGCTTCATGGTCAAGCAGTGACCAGAGAGAATCTATCTCCATAACAGCAATTTTAAGAAGGAAAAAAAAAACAGCCCACAAGAAAATACCACTTGATAAGGGGAAATGTCAGAAAAAGATTAGGAAGAGGCTCCAAGACAGCTCATGTATAGGTCACTCATAAACAAGAAAGGAAGAAACCTATGCTAGAGGCCCTGTGTTAAATTCCAATAGCTTGGGAAACACTAGAAAGAAATAAAAGACTTGGAAATTGCTCAGCAACATGAACTTACACCACGCTCCCTTGTCAGAGACTTGACTCAAAGAGACATTTTTAAACCAGAATAAGGGAAAACAAGAGCTATAAATATACCATATGGAGCTTCCAATCTTTGGTACTCAGGGCATAATAAAAACCCTCAGAGCTATAAGCGTAAGTTCTCAAGAGGCAATAAACATAGGAAAAGTAAAGCCAACTGCCTGCTAAGGTTAGAGACCTGACCTTCATGCTATAACACTTTCATTTTCCCTCCAAACTACTTACTGGAATAACTGCGTAGACTGTATCTTTTGCTGCAAAATACTGCTGCCAAATCTGTACAAAAAAGAGAGTATGTCTGTGACATGTGGGTAATCTTTTCAACCTGCACCAAGAAATGATGACAGCTTTCATTACTCACAGTAACATACAATTTGATAACAGAGAGGAAAACCCAGAGTAATTCTTTTATTACTAGTACATGATTACAAAAAGATTTAATACCATCTACTCTTCTAGATAATTAAACTGTAACTCTTAATAACAAATTCCTGTCAGAGAAATGGAGTCTATGACCTTGTTAATCATTTCTCTCAAGACATGCCTTGTATATAATAGACAAGCTCTTTTTTTTCTTTTTCTTTCCATATCTTCTCTTTTCCGTCCCCAAACCCAAAATCCCTAGCCAATTGTGGGCCTTCTCAGAGAGTAGGACATCAGTCACTCAGAAGCCAGAGTCTGGAGTCAGACAGGTCTGGATACAAATCCCAGCTCCAATCATTTTCTAGCTATGCTACTTTAGGCAAGTTACTGAAAAATAACTAATATAACCATCAGTAAAACAGCAATAGTATCACCCTCACAGGATTGTTGTGAAGATAAGCTGAAATGATTTAGGTTTGTGCTTAGCACAACAGAATTACACTGCAAACCAGAGCCAAAGTGCTCCGAGGGCAACAAAGAGCCCTTAACCCAAGTTAGGGAATGAGTACTAGAGGAGAGGACACTTGAGATGTATCTTGAAAAATGATCAGGAGTTAGCTAGGTGAACAGGGAGTCTGGGAAGACAAAGAGGTGGGGAAGAAGAGAACATTCCAAGCAGAGAATGACGACATTAGCAAAGGCAGAGAAGCAGGGGAAGACAGCATAGCCAAAGTGACATCTGAACTGGTGCTGAAGAATGGACCAGCCTCCTTTAAAGCTGCTCTGCTTTGTTAACATTCCCATTAAAATGTGATCTAGCCAACACAGAGCACAGAAGGACTGCTAATTCCCAGGACTTGGGTAAATCACTCTATCAGTACAGCCTAAGGTTGCTTTGTTTTTATTTTTCATGTCAGAACACTGTCTTCTCATTTTAAGGATAGCATATCCTACTTATTTTTATTTAATTTATATTAGTAGGTAGTTTATGAATCAACACTGAAATACATGAGATTGGTAGATACTTCCTAACATAGTTGACCTTGGTCACTCAAAATTATTTTAACAAACACAAATTTGTATCTAAAATTATAGGTCTAAATGATATTTGTCATATGAGCAGGAGTCTCGGGCCTGGCTTCTTTCCCCACTAAAGGACATGCTTGGTGTCTACTTTCCATTGGCACTTCTTCCCAAAGGCAGTTTGAGGTCTCGTTGAGACTTTGCATAAGCCTCTATTAACAGAGGTTAAAATCCTGTGCTGTCCTTCCACCAGGTTAAAGCTCCTTGAGAGTAGGGGATTCTCTCATTTATTTCTATGGCACAGAGACTGACATTTAATAGGTATTCAATAAATGTTTGCTGAAAATGAATGATGCAGCACCCAAAAGAAGCCATAGCAATTGGCACAACTTCCCATAAAAGAATATGATGCAGAGTGAAACAGACATGGGTTTGAGTCTCATGTTTAATTCCCCAAATAACTCTAGCTCTACCACTTACTAAGTTACTTAATCTCTCTAAGCTATAGTTTCCTCAGTGGTAAATTTGGAATAATAGCACCTACTTTACAAGTAGTTATTAGAATTTAATGAAATAGTGTATATGAAGCACAAAAAATATCTGACACATATACTGCTTTTATTATTTTGATTTTCTCAATATATCTAAAACACAACTCATGGAACTATAGAAATACCAATAAATAGCATATTATAATCTAACTAGAAGCCCGGTGCCCGAAATTTGTGGGCCCCCAACTGCCCTCCCCTGCAGGCCTGGTCACCCCTAACTGCCCTCCCCCGCAGGCCTGATCGCCCCCACCTGCCTACCTTTCAGGCCTAGTCCCTCCTAACTGTCCTCCCCTGCAGGCCTGATTGCCCACAACTGCCCTCCCCTGCCGGCCATCTTGTGTCCACACGGGGGCGGCCATCTTGTGTGTTGGAGTGATGGTCAATTTGCATATTACCTCTTTATTAGATAGAATTAGAGAAAAGAATCATAGACATGAACATTTAAATAGTAGTGAAATGACCAAAGAGGCAGGGCAGATCAAGAGTGCTTTGAAGGCCCAGCTGGTGTGGTTCAGTAGTCAAGCGTAGAGCTCTGAACCAGAAGGTCACGGTTCGATTCCCAGTCAGGGCACATGCCTGGGTTGGAGGCACAATGCCAGTGTGGGGTGTGCAGGAGGCAGCCAATCAATAATTCTTTACCATCACTGATGTTTCTATCACTCTCTCCCTCTCCCTTCCTCTCTGAAATCAATGAAAATATATTAAAAAATAAATTTAAAAAAAATAAAAACACAAATATAGCATTTACTCTGTGCCAGGAACTGTTTAAAGTGCTTTACAAATATTAACCCATTTCATTTCCCAAATAACTCTATAAGGTAAGTACTATTATCATCTCCACTTTACAGATAGAGAAAGTAAGGCTCTAAGGGGTTAACTAACTATCAAAGTCATTCAGCTAGTAAGTGGGCAGAGCTAGGATTTAAAATAGGCAGCTTGGTTCTAGAGCAGCTGTGGGCAAACTACGGCCCCGCGGGCCAAATCCGGCCCGTTTGAAATGAATAAAACTAAAAAAAAAAAAAAGACCATACCCTTTTATGTAATGATGTTTACTTTGAATTTATATTAGTTCACACAAACACTCCATCCATGCTTTTGTTCCGGTCCTCCGGTCCAGTTTAAGAACCCATTGTGGCCCTCGAGTCAAAAAGTTTGCCCACCCCTGTTCTAGATTCTTTGTTCTTAACCAATACATTATGCTTCTCCAGAGCACAACTTTAAGAGGAATCAACTGGTGAGGATATGATAAGGGGAGTGGGAGAAATAGGAGCAGGAAAACCTATTTAGAAAGGTAGTAAAGTAAGCCAGGTATAGAGCAGCAATGATTTTAAATAAGATGTGGACAATAGGAATGAAGACGAAAGGGGAAATATGAGTTGATTAGATATGCACAAGTGAGAACAAGAAAGATAAGTTTTCTTATGCCACTATTTTTCATGTAATTCATCACTTTTCTATCCATGGCCACTTTTCATTTTGGCTAGAAAGAGGTGTCAGGAAATCTATGGTCCTTTCTTCTTTCAGATTTGGTTCACAGAGCACACATTTTCATAAAGTACATCCACCCATTTTCACTCAATACCTGCTTTATTTCTTCTGCAGTTTTGTCTTTCACCATCTCAATGTTAAAGATTGAACTGAGAGTCTGAAAGGGAAAATAAAAGGAAATTAACATCACAATTTAAAAAAACAAAGCAGCTTAACTATCTGTAAGCTTTGTGGGAAGCAACATGTGTATCAGATCCTCAATAAGCAGAGAACGAGTGTAAGAAAACTCCTATGTGCAAAGAAGTGAGCCCACCAGCCTGGGCAGGTTTTTGCAGTTCTATTCTTGGGGGGTACAGGTACTTCCTAAATCCTTCACCCTCACAATGAGCACTGCAGCACTTTGCAACTGGTAAGAGGAGAAAGTTTGGTTATCTTTAATTTAACGGCCATTCTGCCAGGAGTTGCTCCTTATTTGCAAGTTAAATGACAGAGTAAACGTGTTTTTATTTGATTTTTTAAAACAAATTCCTATAGGACAAAAAGGTATCACTATATTTCCTCTAATATCCCCAGGATCCACACTATGTTAGGTGTCACACCAAGGACACAAAAATTCATAGAATATTTCTCATCACCACAGTTGGTAAATCACAAAATCACTGAACCACAGTAAACATGTTCACATTTGCAGTCTCTTATTATAGACTAGAGGCCCAATGCATGAAATTTGTGCAAGGGGCTTGGTCCTCACAGCTGCGGCAGCTTGCTTCGGCCTTCGCAGCCCCGGCTTCCTCCTGAAGGTTGTTCAGCTGTCTGGTCTAATTAGCACATTATGCTTTTATTAATACAGACTAGT